CCTTCGGTCTGATCGGTCGTGTCATTCCTGGTGTCGGTCTTGGTGACGTCCTCGGTGACGTACTGGCGGCGGTCGTCCTTGGGCTTCCTGTTGCGCAGTTCGTCGTCGCATTCGGGTTGCCTGTTAGGCAACTCGTCCTCGGGTTGCAAGTTGCGCAGCTCGTCCCGGCTTGTAGTGGACGCCATCACGAAGGCGGTCGTAGCGATCGTCATGATGTCGCTGAGGTGTGGTCGCAGCCCGTGCCGGCCGAAGAACCACATCTCTCGAGACCTGCACATGTTCGGACACCTCTGTGCGTGTATGGCCGGTGGATCTCCACCGAGGCGGATAGGTTTCGTAGCCGATAATGGTGGATGTGAGTGTAACAGCAGTCTCTCCGGCTTGTAGCTCTCCCGCGAGGCCGCGTGCCGCTCGCCGCACCTACTGCTGTCCATGGCCGGCGGCCCGCGGGACGCGCGCGCGACCGGGCGCGGCGCAAGGAGGCGAGCGCGGGGGTTGGATCCCGCATATGGCCTGCCTCCTCCTCCTCCTCCTCCTCCTCCTCCTCCTCCTCCTCCTCCTCCTCCTACTCCTCCATTCCTTGTTCTTGTAAGCAACCCGTCCCTGTCGCACCCCGAGGCCAATCGAGAGGGCGGGCCGGGCGTTCTGCCCGAGACTTCCTCACCACCGATGACCTGAAGCTGTAAAGAGCTGCAACACTTTCACGGATGGAGGGCGGCTGCTTGTCTCCAAATTGTGGCTCTCGCCTCAGCGCCGCGCACATCCGTTTGAAACCAATGCTGGGGCTCCACGGACGGAGGGCGGGTCGTCTTTCACACGCGGCTCTTGCGCGAGCCCCGCGCAGAGTCGTTTAGAATGACCGCCAAAGCTTTACCGATGCAGGGCGAGTCCCTTTCGATGTGTGGCTCTCGCCGTAGCGCCGTGCCCAGTCGTTTTCAAATATTACATCAGTTTCAAGGATTCTCATGCTTAATTTCTAGAACTTGTGCTTTGGCACGATCTCGGACTGTCGGGGCGCAACAGTTACGTCGATTCGTGGCGTGGACGTCCCAGGAATGGTGCTGGGGCGCGGTTCAGGATCGTCAAATCGCATCAGTAGCGGTGATTCGCGGCGGTGTTCTGGCTCAGTTCAAATTTTTCAGGCAATTGTCTTCCAACGAAGCACTTCCGTCGGAGGTGGGGAGGAGGAGGAGAAGGAGGAGGAGGAGGAGGAGGAGGAGGAGGAGGAGGAGGAGGTCTTCCCGATCCCTCCCCCCCCCCGTTTTTCCAGACCCAATCTCGGCCGCGGCTGCGCGGTGGCTTCCTCCGTGGGCGACGGCTGTGCCAGGACAAGGGGCCCCTCGCTCCCCCAGGCGGTCGTGCCTGGCCGCGGGTGCCAAGCCGGCGGCGTCCGCAGGTCTGGGCGCCTGGGCCGCTGGGCCCCGTGCGGGCCTGGACTCGCCCGCCGCGCGCGCGCCTGCTGGGCGCCGCGCGGCGCCTCCCCGCCGGCGGCTGCTGGGCCCGCCGGGCAGCGGTCTCTGGTGCGCGGGGCGCCCGTCGGGCAGGGTGGGCTCCGTCTCGTCTCTGACGGTGCCTCTGCCTTCCGCTCCCGGGGGCGCGCCAGGGTGTGCCGGCCTGGCTGGTCGGCCTCGCGCCTGCGGCGAGGGAGCACACGCTGCGTCACCCTGGTGTCGGCCTCAGTCCCTGGAGGGGTCCTGCCTACTGGCGGCGAAGGCCCGCAGGAGGGCGGCGGTTGCAGCCGGCGCTCGCGGTGGGCACCGCGCGGGCTGGGGCGGCGTCCCCAGCGCGCGGGTGCTGGTTGGAGGCGTGCAGGGGGTCGTTGGCCATGCGTGCAGCTTGTCACTAGGTTCGGGCGGCTGATAGGGCGTACCGCGGCGCACGTCACGATGGCGCACGGCCATGGAGACCATGGTGAACGTCTATGGCGAGCGAGCAAGACTTTGATTAGGCGGTTGAGCTTGATTGGGGGGGGCTTCTAGAATTCTGGAATGGCCTCGCGCGCGCCCCGAACGGGCGCGGGGTCCAAGCAGACAGAAACGCGGCAGCCACTGACGCGACGGCGACGACGAACGACGACGGTGAAGACGGCAGACGAAGAGCGCAGCGACGACGGACGACGACGGCGGGGGCGGCAGCAGCCAAACAAGCTAGCCGACTAGCCGTCGGCACTCGCGGCAAAGTTCGGACCCGATACCGGACCGCCGTACTCTGGTACACGCGTGACACAGCCCGGCAAGATGAATGTCCTTGCCCTTGCTCACGTCCTTGCCGGCAGCAGGTGTAGACACAGCCGGAACTGGCTCAGGCACTAAGCCCTTGATGCTGACCTTGCTGCACCTTGCCCATGGACTTGCAGTACAGTGCAAGATGACAGGGAAGGAGGAGGCAGGGGGGAAGCATGCTGCCCACGGAAGGACGGCCCGACAAGAGCTTTTTGATTACAGGCAGGGGTGACGAGCCCTGCCTGGGCCCGCCGATCAGGCGCCTCCCCACAGCGAGCCGCAAGGCAGGGCCGCGACTGCAGCGGCAAGCCTCGACCTGGACCCCGTCCGGGCGCCTCGAGCAGGCTGCCGCCGCTCTCTCGGCACGCAAACGATGGAGCGCTAGGCCGAGGCACCGCCGACGGCGGGGGGCGCTTGGAGGGGAAGCCCGTATCTGCGCTGCCCCTGATGACGAAGCACAGCGCCGCCCGCACGACCATCCACGAATACCGAACTCCTCCTCGCCCCTGGCTGCGCTGGCATCGACGTGCCAGTCCGTCTCGTCTCCTCGAGGCCGTGCTCCGCAAGGAGCACAAAAACTCCGCGTCGACCTTCGCCAGCACCGCCTCCTCCCGCTCGGGCCGGCGCTCGAGGATGTTTCCGCCGCCCGCAGTCTCGGAGGACCCTCCGTAGGAGGCCAGACCAGTCTCGATCTCGAAGGGTTCAGGGCCGCGACTGCAGCGGCAAGCCTCGACCTGGACCCCGTCCGGGCGCCTCGAGCAGGCTGCCGCCGCTCTCTCGGCACGCAAACGATGGAGCGCTAGGCCGAGGCACCGCCGACGGCGGGGGGCGCTTGGAGGGGAAGCCCGTATCTGCGCTGCCCCTGATGACGAAGCACAGCGCCGCCCGCACGACCATCCACGAATACCGAACTCCTCCTCGCCCCTGGCTGCGCTGGCATCGACGTGCCAGTCCGTCTCGTCTCCTCGAGGCCGTGCTCCGCAAGGAGCGCAAAAACTCCGCGTCGACCTTCGCCAGCACCGCCTCCTCCCGCTCGGGCCGGCGCTCGAGGATGTTTCCGCCGCCCGCAGTCTCGGAGGACCCTCCGTAGGAGGCCAGACCAGTCTCGATCTCGAAGGGTTCGCAGGGCCCCTCCAGGCAAGGGACGCGGGAGGCATCCTCGTCTGCAGTCTTGCCGAGCGCCACCAGAGCTTTCAAGAAGAGTGCAGAAACGTCTCCCGAAATGGCACTGCCCGACGCCCAACTGCCGCCTGGGCCTGGTCTCGACTCCGCCGTCGCTATCTCCCCGTCGAACCTCGCCAGCACCCCCTCCACGTCCAGCTGCACGTGCTCGACGGGCGGCCCATTGCCGACGACCTGCGGGACCTCCCGGATGCGCCCCCCCGATGACGCCGCCACCGTGCAGGTCCGCCGCGGCCGCACAGGGCCGAGCTTAAGGGCTGTGTGCGCGGGCCCCGCAGCTGCAGGGCATCCTGCAGGTCGCCTGCTGACGGACCCGGCTCGGCCGCCGTCGGCCTTCCCAACCATCGTCGACGCCCACCTCTGCCTGCCCACGTCCTTCATGAAAATTGCCTAGCCGCCGGCTAGGCGCTAGGCACTGGTCCTGCAGAGTGCCGTCCTCCTCGGGTCTGAGCGCGTCGCCGACGTCGCCATGGACCTGCAGCAGCTGTGCCTCCACCTGCACCGGCTCGGCCGATGCAGCTTCCGAGACGCCGAGAGCGTCCATGAGGGAGTCGCACTTCGCCTTCCTGCCACGCAGCCCTGCCCCGAACACACTTCGTCACAGAAGCACGGATGCCGGGAGGCACCTTGGGCACGGCCGCCGTCCTCCCAGGCGGCGAGGCGTGCTCTGCACAATTCGACTGGGCGCCCGCTTCCGCCGCGGCCGCGTGCCAGTCGGCGCCACCCGCACCCCCCAAAGCAGCCGCCAATGGGCTCCGAGGCGCCGCCCCTCGCAGCGGCAGAGGGGCACCCGCCGCGCCTTCCGGTGCGCGGCGGGCCCGCGCGGCGCCGCGGAGCCGCGCCCGGCCGCCCGGGCTCGCGGCCGCCGCCGAGCTCCGCGCCCTGCGCTCGCTCTCCCGCTCCTGCTCGCGGAGGCTGCGGCGCAGAGGCAGCCGCCCAGCGCCTGCCTCTCCACCGGGCAGCGCTGTCGCCGCCGACCTCCCATGGAGCAGCCTCCGTGGCCGCCGGCGCGCGCCAGGGCGCCCCGCGGGCGCGAAGGCGCGAGGGCATCCCGTTGGGCCAGCCCGCGTGAGCCCACACGGCTACGGAGGGATGGGGGATGATGGGGAGGAGAAGGACTCGGAGGCCGAGGGGGGCGGCGGAAGGCGCGAGGGGGGGGCGCACCACTGACTTCAGGGTTCGGGGCCTGCCCAGAAACGGCCCGTGGAGAGCCCCGGGAAGACAAAAGCGGAGAAAAACCTCAGGACCCGTTTCCCTCAGGACCCGATGCCGAATTATGATCCACGCCTCTTCCGGCGCGGGGGAGACGGAGGAGGAGGAGGAGGAGGAGGAGGAGGAGGAGGAGGAAGAGGAGGAGGAGGAGGAGGAGGAGGAGGAGGATGCAGGAGGAGAGGAGGAGGATGGAGATGAGAGAGGGGGGAGGGCGAGGGGGAGGAGGAAGGAAGGAAGGGGAGGGCGAAGAGGGCGAGGGAAGGGAAGGGCGAAAGGGCTGGCGAGGAGGAGGGCGTAGAAGAGGAGGAGGAGGAAGAGGAGGAAGAATGGGAGATGGAGGAGGTGCAAAGAGGGGCTGCGGGTGGGTGGGGGGGGGACAGAGGCCTCTCGGTCGCCAGCAGCGCGTCCCCGACGCGCCCGTCGCCGAGACATTCGAAGACGTTGGCGCAGATCGCCGGCAGGTAATTGGCCCCTGCCCCGGCAAAGAGAGGAGGAGGAAGAGGGAGAGGAGGCGGACTTGAGGTGATGTGGCTTCTGGGCGCCTTGACTGGAGCAGGAGGATGGGGAGGATAATAAGGACAAGCCCCTGCGGGGGGCGCCGTTCGTGGACAGCACCATCGGCTCCACGGACTTCACCGGCGCGGGGAATGCGCCCTGGGGCCAAAGGGCCAGATCACATGTGCTTACATGACAGAAGTACCGCAGCGGGGCTACCGCCCCACCATGCAAACATCGATGCTACCCTGGTATGCTCTCCGCCGGCGCTGGTGCACGGCACGGCCTCCCTTGATGATCACCTTTGACACCGCCAACACGCTTCACACGAAGCTCACATATGCTGCACTTTCAAGGAACGGACTCTGTGGCCGGCATGCCGTCTGACCCGCTCAAGGCGGCAGCCCGCGGGCGAGGACAGCGCGTGTGGGCGTGCGTCCTGCAGCTGGTGGGTGCAACTGTCTGGCTTCCGCTACGCTTCGGTGACGAAGTAAGATAGCGTGAAGGTTGCTGGGCACGCGTGTTCACTTGTCCAAGGGTCCCGAGTTCTACACGCTGGATTTGCTCGTCATGGTCGCCCCAGCCGACACTCGTGTTGGCTACACGACGAGGGCCTGGTGACCCAGGGCGAGGAGAGCGTATGGTGCCTCCCGGCACCTCCTGGTCGGGTGCTTTCGGGCAGAGCCGACCCTGGGGGAGTTTCTGCATGTTGTACTTGATTGTTGTGGTTGTCATGCCACTCGATGTCGACACTTACGTCGACACCTAGTTACGCTGGGGGCCAGGTCTATTTCTACCTGGCCGTGGTCACCTATACAATGAAGCCTCCAGGATCAGGCCTACGCTTTTTTTTCGGCCGCGGTCCAGGAGAACACAACCAAGGAGGGGCCCGACAATGCCGTGTTCGGCCTCGCTCCCGTCATCAACGAAGCGCCCTTCACCGTCGAAGAGCACCTCTCTGAACGTCGAGGACTCCTCGTTGAGGCTGTAATCCTGTCGCTTTAGCACAGGCGGATAATGAGGACAAGGTCAGAGGTCTCGTCAGAGACGCGTGGCCCCTGTAGCCCATGACCTCTCAATCTCTCGAAAGTCTTCTGTGTAAAATCAGGATACAGTGTGGCGACGCTCGTACTGAGAAGGAGGGAGAGGAGGCGGACGAGGAGGAGGAGGACGAGGAGGAGGGAGCAGAGGGGGGCTTCTGGAGTATCAGAGAGCTCGACTCTGTTCATTGTGGGCTCCAAGGGGCCCTGGGGGGGGGGGAACGGGACGAGGAGGAGAGACCACCCTGCGGAAAGAGGGAGGACAACAGGAGGAGGGATGAGGATGAGGATGAGGACGAGGAGGGGGAGTAGTAATTAGGAGGAGAAGGAGGAGAAGGAGGAGAAGGAGAAGTAGGAATGAGTGAGCGAGTTGCTTGACTCGGGGAGGTGACGAGACACGCCGAGGAGGCAAAAAACAGGCCAGCCCCAACAGGGCTGCCAGGCATTCCGCCTGTGGGGGAGGCGAAACTGGGAGGAAAGAGCTAAGAGGGGGGTGGATGAGATAGAATCTGTCTCGGCGGGATCGAGAAACCAGCGAGTCCTTCCTCGAGCTCTCCAACTCTCCCGTCTCATTGCCTCGGCCGCATGGCCGATCCAGGGGGTTCCAGCCTAGAGTCGGGGATGGACAGAGCCCCCTTGAGTAAAGCGTGGTTTCGTGAAAACGACCTCGGGCCCAAACCTGGCTGGCGCACGCCTGGAAAATGACGGCCGCGGCGCACGCTCGAGAACCGAAAACGGACATAATCGACGTGTCAAGGTGGGGGTTCTGTCCACCCCCGATAAAGAGAACAACGCGGAGGGGAAAGAGAGAGAGAGAGAGAGAGAAAAAAAAAAGCGAGAGAGAGAGAGAGAGAGAGAGAGAGAGAGAAAAAAAAAAAACGAGAGAGAAGGGGGAGGCACCGCGGTGTGGCCGCCAACGCACAGCGAATGACTCGTGAACACGCCAACGGGCGACAGGAGCAGCCCACATCCCCAAACCCCCGGCGCCATACATATTTTTTGTGACGTGGACCCCCAGCGGTCTGGACCCGTTCCCCGGGCCGGGTTGCTCATCCTGAGAGGGTCTCTGGCCCCGAAGGCCGGCGAGGGCCCCCAGAGGCCGAACATAGCGAAACAGAAAAACAGCTGCCATGATTTTTGCATGACCCGAGGACGTCCTGGAAGACAGCCCGCATACACCTCGGACAGTGCCGCCCAGACAAGACAGAAGAATCGCCTCGCGCCCCCCTTGGCTGGGCGCGCTGCTCCGCGCCGTGCTGCAGACTCCCCCGGCCAGGCGGCGGCGGAGGGCGGCCGTGCTGCCCATTGCGCCGTGCTGCTGCTACCCAAGGTGGGCGTGCGCTGGCATGGGTTGGCCACACACGCTACAAGCACACATACAGACGCACATACAGGCAGGCATGCATACAAACATACATGCATGCACACAAACAAACACACAAACACACACATATATATATATATATATACATATCAGAACGAGGGGCCGAGCGGCCTCGAAAGTGGCGACAGACTCGCAGATCGCAGCCCCCCAGCGATGGCGCTGTCCAATCTGAGTCTGGGTGGTGCCTCACTCCGCTGGACCCCCCAGCAGACCTCGAAAGTGGCGATCGTCTAGAACATCTCGGCCCCCCAGCGATGGCGAGGTCCAATCTGAGTCTGGGTGGTGCCTCACTCCGCTGGATCCCCCAGCAGCCCTCAAACATGGCGACAGTTTCGAACATCGCAGCCCCCCAGGGACGGCGAGGTCTAATCTGAATCCGCAGCGGGTGCCCACGATGCTGGTCCCCCCAGCAGACCTCGAAAGTGGCGACGGTTTCGCAGATCGCACCTCCCAAGGCATGCCAGCTTCACACTTCGCAGGCCCCACAGGCAAGCCACCAGGCGCACAGGAGAGGAGAGGAGGGAGGCGGGAAGAAGGAGGAGAAGAAGGTTGGAGACCGCAGTGCTCGAGTCAAAACGAGAACCCAACGCAGGAGGGATGGGAAACACGTGCAAGAATTTCCACGGATTGACGGCGGGTCGTTTTCAAAAAGTGATTCTCGCCTTAGCGCCGCGCACATTAGTTTCAAACTGTGGAGAAACGTCACGGATTGAGGGCGGGTCTTTTTCGAAGTGTGGCTCTCGCCTTAGCGCCGCGCACAGTCGTTCAAAACAAATGTAACAGTTTCACGGATTGAGGGCGGGTCGTTTTCAAAACGGGGCTCTCGCCTTAGCGCCGCGAGAATTCTTGTTAAACAAATGCAAGAGTTTCACTGGTTGAGCGCGGTTCCTTTTCAACATGCGGTTATCACCTTAGCGCTGCGCACTTGCTTTTAATAGTTACAAGAGTTTCGCATATTCCCATGACCAACGTACCAGAACTTGTGTTTTGGATCGACTCTGGATTATGAGGGTGCCACGGTTAACTTGATTCGCATCTAGGTCTTCAAACGGTTGTTTTCCAACGAGGCAGTTTCCTTTGTGGAGATGAACCGTTGTAGGGGCCTGTGACGAGGGAGCTTGGAGGGAGGGCTTACTCCAACATCGTTGATGACTCTTGGGTTGACACTGATCCTCCTCTTCCTCCTCCGCCATCTCCTCCTCCTCTTCCTGCTCCTGCTCCTGCTCCTCCTCCTCCTCCTCCTCCTCCTCCTCCTCCTCTTCCTCCTCCTCCTCCTCCTCCTCCTCCTCCTCCTCCTCGGGCCCTAAAAGGGCCCCTCTAGGGGCCCCAAGGGCTCCTCCTCTGCAGCCCTCGCTGCCCCCCACTTATCGCCCCCACTCCTCCTCCTCCTCCTCCTCTCTCTCCTCCTCCCTCCTCCTCCTGCCCCTCCTCCTCCTCCTCCTCCTCCTCCTCCTCCTCCTCCTCCTCCTGCCCCTCCTCCTCCCAAGCCGCCCGGCCCAGGGGAGCGAGCGCCTTCGCCGGACCTTGGGGCCCCCCCCCCCAAGCCCCGACTCTGAGTGCGGGCCCACGCCGTGGCCCCTGCGGCTTGAGAACGGAGCCCTCGCGACCCGCAAGGCGGGGCAGAAATCATGAGTGGCGCTGAGGCTGGGTAGTCGAAGCCAATCTGGCGCCAATCTGGCAGGCCCAATCTGGCAAACGGGGGCAATCTGGCGAGGGAGCCAACGCGAATCCAGTCTGGCGAATAACCCAAATCATCCAATTTGGCCGGGCCAGACTTGCCCTTGGGGCCCAATCCGATCTGACAGTCTGGCCTTCGACTACCCAGTGAGGAGAAGACGGGCCTCGGTGACCCCATCATTGGCTGCTCACTTCCGCAGGGGAACAAGAAGTGACAGTAAACATAACAACTCGGAGGTCCGCGCGGATTTCTCGGATACGCGCTGGACCCCCCATGGCGGCGTCGCTGGCGCCGCCCCTGGCGCGCTCCGCGCGCCAGGTAGGGGGGTCCAGCGCCGATCCGAGAAATCCGCGCGGACCTCCGAGTTGTTATGTTTATGACACTTTTTGTTCCCCTATTCAGGGGACCTTCCTGAAGCCACTCGCTCCACTCGTGCGTCGAAGCTGCGTCGAACGTCCGTCGATTCGAGTCGACCTCGAACCTGAGTCGAATTTGAGTTCATCTTGAGGCGAACTGGGGTTGACTTAGATTCGAACAGATCCGTCAGGTGGGCCCCAGGAAGGTCCCCCCAACGAGCATCTACTCAGCGGGTGGGCCGAGGCCGCCGAGGAGGCGTTCGAGGAGGCTGACAAGACCGAGGAGGTGACGCAGGCCGCGAGGCTGCCACAGGCAGCGCACTTCGTGGCGGCTGTGGAGGCGCCGCAGGTTGAGTACCACGGCAGGAGTGGGCGGACTGCCTCGATGACGAGAGCAAGCTGGTGCAGGAGAGCCTTCCAAGCGTCCCCCTTTTCCCCGTCCTCGAGATCACATCCGGGAAGATGGAGGAGGCAGTGGCAGGGAAGTCAGAGGAGCACTGGCAGCAGCAAGTTGAGGAGGCGCCGCAGGAAGAGTAATTACCAAGCGAAGACCGTTAAGGTAGACAGTGTGCCGCAGGGCGTCTAGATGCCAAGCCATCTCGTAGAGTCCGTGAAAGCGCGGCAAGTTGAAAACGTCAACGCGCTCTTCCACGTGGATGCGGTTT